TACCCTCCTCTCTCTCTCTCCGAATCATCTCTCTTCGCTCTCTCTCTCTATGTCCTCTCTCTCTCTGCGACCTCATGCAAATATGGGTTTTTTCAACTTCCCCTCTCTCTCTCTCTTTCTCTCTATATCTAAGTCATGCCTCACTCTTCGTGCCCTTGGTTTCCTTCTTCTCTCCTCTCTCTTTCTCTCTTCGATTTAAGGATTCGATGATCCAGACGCAACTCTTTACTTCCCTTTCTCTCTTTCTAGTTTTTGTTTTGCCGAAAGGACTGAGATGCCCCTGGTCTCTTTATCAAATTTCAGTGATGTGCCTCACTTTTCCTTTAATATCCCTTAGGCCCCCAAGACGGGCCTCATATTCACACGCAACACCTCGTCGTCCCTTTTACTCCTCTCTCCCATCTTTTGTGATTTCAAATATTCTAATAAGTTTGACCAGAATGACGAAAACGCCCCTGACCTCACCCAAAATTTCTAGAATACCATCCACATTTGAAAAATATCCAAAATGTGTATGGTGGGCCCATCTTATACTGTACAATTAAGACGGGCCTTTAAATTTTGTTGAAAGATATAGTTTCATATCGAAAACCTTATGATGGCTTAAAAATCCATCTTCATTCCAAACTATGGAGTTTAAATTTTCAAAAATAGTGTAGATTGAGGAAATATATAAATACTTCAAAATAGATGGTCTAGATGACTTGTTATAAGATGAACTATTTTCAAAACTTGCAAAAAAAATTTATTTTATTCCGTATTCTGTATTCTCAAAGTCGAGATGATCAAGTGGAAAGTTTTCCAACTTCACATCTCTCTTTTGTACTGGCTTTTGATGTTCACCTTACCTCTACAGTATAAGGTTGCAACCTTATATACCTAGCCCAAAATTCCTTGTTTAATCTCACACACCCTATAGTATATGGTCCATAGACCAACCATAGGCCATCGGATCTCATCAACAGTGGTAGAGATTATGCATGGAGATCACTTGATTTATCCCTTTAGAACCTGCTACATTGATTCTTCTCAACCGTCCAGTTATTAGGATGGATCATGGATGGTGGACACGTAAACCATAAGCTATACACGCACTGATTTCACGTGTATTGTGTGACAACCCTTCTATTTGGTTTATGAGGAACGTCTAATAAGAGGTGGTGATGGAAAATACGTGATACACAGAATATATAATATGGGGCTAATCTCGACCTTCTATTAATGACAATGACGTTAGATATTCGATTATATCGAATGATAAAAACAAAAATAGAATATTGATCAGGGAAAATTTTATATTTTTTCAACGGTTGTGAGGATGTGCTCGATCGGACAGTCGGCTTTGCGATCGCCTATTCCGAAGTAATGAATAGCTGGGTTTAAAAATAGAAAAACTACACAAAAAAAGAAGTTGCTTTTAGAGCGAGGAATATACGAGTCCCGACAACAAACTAGGTGTCCTGTTTTGATCAATCAGAAAAAAATTTTCAGTTTGGGGCTATCTAGAATACGATATTCTCTAGCTTCGAGCTTTAAGCAATTCTGATTTGGCTCGTCGATTGTATGCTATGGTCTATCTGTTGTCTTATTTCATCAGCTACCTAAGGAGTTATTCCTATTTCCCCTAGTGCCCATCTCTCCCGTCCATTACCATGGATGGGCGATCGATCTATGCAACCTATAAAGGAAGACGGAATAAGAAGTCCACGTAATACTTCTCTCCCCACCTGCAACTCCTCAACCATAATTCACTAAATTCTATTATGTGAATCCCAAGCCCAACTTTTGTAATTTTCTCATTTATGAGGGATTGTTTCGTATCAACTTTGTGTTTTCAAATTGAGTTCGTGGAACCCTGAAATACGCCGACCGTAAAGGGGGCAAAATCGTCAATATGATAAGCTGATGAAAAACTAGAGAGAGAAAACTCCATGTCCCCACCACACTACACCTAATCATCTAACCACTACACAAAGCCTAGTTTTACAATGCCTAAAACACCCTTGTTCAATATGAAGTTAGTACATTTTGATCCAAATCCCAGATTTCAAATTTTTGCTTAAAGATTTGGAAAATTGAGCTCTAATTGGAAAAGTATACAACGAGATCATTTACATTTAATACAAAGTGATCACAATTAATTTTAACTATTGAATGTGAAATTAGACAGTTATATTTATTCCATTGATCAAGCTTAAACTTCAAAAGAATTTTTCTTGAACTTTATGATACACCCAAACTATCAAAATTCACATCGGACAGTTGTAAATTAGGAAAATATTTCTATGTGACTCTACCTACATAGAAAAAATATGGGACTACTATTTTTTGACGATATCAAATTTCACATCGAATGATTGTAAGTAAGGGGAATGTTTCTATGTAACCCCAACCGGCTCTCAGTGATTGCCCTTCTCTTACCCATCCCACCAACCTCGCATGTCATACTTTCTCTCTCCCTCTCTTTCGTGCCATTCTCTCTTCCTTTCTCTATAATCTAGTTCTCCCTTTAACCTTGTCATTCTCAAGGAACCCTAACCCTCTCCATCGCTTTCTCTCTTTAGACCCTAACCCTCTCTATCACTCTCTCTAGCAAAAATAGAAGAAGAGGAAGAGATGAATTTCTTAATTAATCAAATTGATTCATATTATTTTGTATGAACACCAAATGAATTGAAATCATTCTGTCTTTTGATGAACAAACCACAACCCAAATTCAAGAAATCGATTGATATTATTTTGTGTTTGAAACCACAACCCAAAATACAGCCCAAATTCAATCAAATATTGATTGAAAGAAGGAACCACAATCAAGCAAATCTCTGAAGCCAGTAATCGATGGCACTATTCTCGGACTTCCACCACTATTTTCACCTTCAACATATACTAGTTCTCTCTTTTTGTTGAAGAATAGTACACCCCATCTCTCTCTTCTATGAGAAACTGCCAATATGCACAACTAGCGATGCCCTTATCTCTCTTATTTTAGAGAGACTTCCTTGTGACTTTTGCTCGTCTCTCTCGCTTCAGATGGACCTCCGCTCACTTCTTCTTCTTTCTATGAAGCGGGATTGATAGAGAGGGTTAGGCTCCCTGATGCTTCCTTCCATTTAAAAGATGGTTAGGTTCCTGCAGCTTCCTTTCATTAGTGCTTGAGAAATAAGTTATTGGCAGAGGGAGCCATTTGAAAGATGGTTAGGTTCCTGCAGCTTCCTTTCATTAGTGCTTTGAGAAATAAGTTATTGGCAGAGGTATAGGGTTACTGCAGGTAAAGAATCAAAAGGGTTAGAGAGAGAATGCGATAGAGAGAGAGTATGGAGTGCCAGACAAGCGTACTTCTACGTTGGGTGAAGGAAGGGCAACCGGTTGAGAGCCGGTTAACAAGTGTGTTATTCGAGCCGTCCCTTTAGGTCAGATGGTTGAGATATACCGAGCACATATTTTTTTTTTACGTAGGTAGGGTCACATAGAAAGTCGCTTATATAAATAATTGGGATCACTTTGTATCAAAAGTAAACGACTTATAAAATCTCTTCAAAATTCCTTAAAGAAACAAGCGAGAGGCATCCTTTCGTTAACCAAATATTTCGAGGGAGTTTTACGTTTGCTAACTCCCGTAGGAGCATATTGTTTATTTAGTTCTTCAGGTAAAATTCATGTCCTATTAGATCTCAAAATTTGAAGACTTAAAATTCTTAACTTATTGGACTAACTGCAAAGAAGAAAAATTCCAAATCCCACTTTTTATGTACTTGAATAAAATAATGTCTCGAAATTGAACCGAGATTGTCTAATATTTTAAGGAGAGATATAAGCGTTAAAAAAATTAAAATTAAAATTAAAATTTTCTCTTTTGAAAATGATCATCTAGTTTTTCTTAGGTAGTTCACAAAATTCTCGATTAAAAGAATCCTCCAGGGAACATATATACAGAATACTCCTATGGGAGCATAATAATAAGCGCCAGTCACGAAGTATTTCTTCATGTTGTTATTTACCAGAAAAAAATATTTAATGGACGGCAGGTATGGAATCAAGTGGTACTGTTTGGGCCAAGCCAGAAATCTGATCCGTCCAAGAAAAATTGTTGGCTTGTTCGTCCCAGCATTTAAAGAGAGAAAGGCCCAAAAAGTAGAGGTCGCAATTATTTATAGAAAAAAGTTTTGGATGCAACCTTATAATATAGAACTACATATGCACCTCAAAAATCTATTGGAAAAGGTAGTTTTAATGTAAAAAAAACCCTTTGATTGATCATCTCGATATCTAGATGTATAGCCATGAAAAATAAAAAGATTTTAAGTCTCAAAAATAGTGTATTTTACAACATATTATCTACACCGTCCATTTTCAAGATTTTCATATGTTTATAGATCTATTTGATTTTAGCCAATTTATAAATTTTAAATTTTATAATTAGGTATAAAAATAGATTTTAAGATAATCCTAAGAACATTTTACATCAAAATTATATACCATAATAAAATTTGAA